GTTATTATTCTTTTTCTGTGATTTTGACATGTGGATTTCTTTTGTAATTCCTGATTCTTGTGTGAGACTCAAGCTTCAAGTTTAGGTCTGCTTCTTTTTTGTCAAATTTATGTGTCTTTGTGGTTTACTTTTTGGGCATGAATAGCTGGTTGGTCTAAGCTTCCAGTTCTCTCTTTTGATTTTATTTTGGAGTGGCCAGCTTGCTTTTGTCTTCAGGAGTTCTCACAGAGGCCCCAGTCCGCTGAGGATCAGATGCTCTCAGGATTTCTCCTAAGGTCTGGATCCCTCCAGGATAGATTTTAGCCTTAGGAATTTGGGGGTTGGACTGGCCTGGGAGCCTGGCCCAGGAAAGATGCTGGTCTAGGGAAGGTGGTGGCCATGCCACACAGAGATGCAAAGGAAGATGGGGGCAGGAGGTGGCCCCAAGGGCCCCTGGGGACTGCACTGAGAAGCTGGGTTGGTCTGGATGCAAACGACCAGGAAGAGAAAAGGTCAGCCCTGGTGTCCAGGAAAGAAGCTGGCGGGTTGTGCAGACCTGGGGAGGCAGATGGAGGTGAGGGCAGGGTCAGGCCCTGAACGCTCCTGGGGACCAGAGAAGGAGCTGAGTTGCTCTGGATGCACAGGATCAGGAAGCAGTGGTGGTTCCCCATTTGTCTGGGGTGCCAAGACAAGGAATGGGACAGGGCCCAGGCTAGGAGGAGAGACTGGCGGGGGAGATGGGAGGGTGAGTGATACTGAGGGAATCAAGGCACCGAGGGCGCGATTGACTTACCCCAGAGAGAGAAGCCTGTGGGTCAGAGAGGGGCCTGTGGGTCCTGCAAGCCCAGGGAAGCAGAGGGAGGTGAGGGTGGGGCCAGGCCCAGAGAGCCCCTGGGGACCCAAGAAGGAACTGAGTTGGTCTGGATGCAAAGGATCAGGCAGCAGTGGTGGTTCCCCAGGTGTCTGGGGCACCAAGAAAAGGAATGGGACAGGACCCAGGCTAGGAGGAGGCTTGTGGGTCCTGCAGGCCCAGGGAAGCAGAGCTGAATCTCTGTTTTTTAAAACATTTTGGCAGAGATTGCAAAATTTCTATATGAAAAATGGAAATTATTTATAATCTGTCACAAACATATTACTAATCTGAGAGGTAAGAAAGGAATGGAAGGAGGAAGGAAGGGAGGGAGGAAAGGAGGGAGGGAAGAAGGAAGGAAGGAAGGAAGGAAGGAAGGAAGGAAGGAAGGAAGGAAGGAAGGAAGAAAAAGTGGTGTTTAAATATTGTTGGGGCTTTTGCTGCTGTTGTTAGAGACAGGGTCTCACTATTTAGCTCTGACTGGCTTAGGACTTCCTATGTAGACCAAGCTGGCTTCAAACTCACAGAGATCTGCCTGACTCTACCTCCCCAGTGCTGGGATTAAAGGCCTGTGTCACCATGCCAAGCCAATATTGTCAGGTTTTTGTTTGGTTGATTGGTTTGGGGTTTGAGGATTTTTGAAACAGGCTCATGTAACACAGGTAGGCCTTGAACTCCTGATCCTTCTGCCTCTATCTCCCATGTGCTGGGATTGCAGACATGCACCACCACACCAGATAGTAACTAATTTTTTGTTGTTGTTGTTGTTGTTACTGTTGATTTTTATTTAATTTTATGTGTATAACTGCTTGGCCTACATGTAAGTGCACTAATGTGCAATGCCTGTGGATGCAAGAAGGGTCCCCTGAATCTATTGCTAGCCACCATGTGGGTGCTGAGAACCAAATCTGGGTCCTTTTCAAGAGCAGCCATTGCGCTTCACTCCTGAGCCATCTCTGTAGCCTAGCTAGTAGCTAGTTTTAATTTGCATTCTTTCACAATTAGTAGTTGGACATTTTTCAATATGATTATTGGCCATTTGAATTTCTTCTGTGAATTACTAGTTCACATTCTTTGTTCATTTTTTCTTTCACATTGTTTGGTTTGGACAGGTCCATTGATTTGTGGGAGCTTGGTGTGTATTACTGTCACTTAGCCTTTTGTCTCTCCAACTGTAGCAAATGGTTCCTAATATATAGCACATGATTTAACTTTGGAAATACTGTCTTTTCTTCAGTAGATGTGGTAACACATGAGCATTTACAGGATGCCAAACCCCATTCTAAGTACTTTATATGAGTTATCTCTAGTTCTGTTTTTTAATGTTAAGCTCTTTGTTCTATCAGGAGCTTATTTTTAGATGAGATATGGATGTGGCTTTCTTTCTTTCAAGTGGATTGTCAATTCTCCCAACAACAGTTATTAAGTTTCCCTGCAATATGACTGCTGTCTTTATAGCTACACCATTCCCATACATACATTAATTTATTGATTTTTCTTTCAGTGCTGGGGCTCCTACTCAGGCCTTTATGCATGCCAGGCAAGTGACCTGCCACTAGGTCATTTTTAAAAAGATTTATTTTTATTAGTTTTTAATATTTTATTACTTTTATATATATGAGTGTATTTCCTGCATGTATGTAAGTGCACCCATTTCCTGCATTGCCCATGGAGGTTAGAAGCATTGGATCCCCTGGAACTATAGTTATGAATGGTTGTTAGCACTAAAGTTATGGATGGTTATTATGTACTATGTAGGTGCTGGGAACTAAACCTGGGTCCTCTACAAGAGCAGCCAGTGCTCTTAATCACTGAGCAATCTCTCCAGCCCCCATTCTCTTATCTTACTGAGTTGGCCAGACTAATGCAAACTTTGTAGGCAAAGAGTGTGATAATGTTTGGCATGGTGGCTCACACCTGTAATCCCAGCACTTGGGAGACAGAAGCAGGAGGAAACTCAAAGTTCAGTTCTATCCAGGGCTACAAAAGTGAGTTTCAGGCCAGCCTGGACTACAAAATGAGATGGGGAGGGAGCGTAAATATAAGTATATGCCAAGAAAATGCTCTACCGCTGTGCCACAACCCCAGCCCTCTGTTATTTAAGAAATTTCCTTATAGTTTTGTTTTTTAAATCAGGATGACTGTTGAATTTTAATCAAGGGCTTTTCATTTTCCATGTCTAAGAGGTACTGTGATAAGATAATCACAAGGCTTTCTTTAATACTAGAGTCCCACCACTTTCATGAAACTCTTCTCAATTCTTAATGCTGATTCTTCTTGGAGTGCCAACTCTCATTGAGCCTCAGTCTGGCTGATGGAAGGGCAGGAGTGGGAGGGTCTTGAGGATTCATGGCAGGAGAGCATCACAGGCACACACAGATTCAGAGAAGACCCAGTCCAATTGTGGCAGATAGAAGGCTCTGGTGAAAACAGAGGCTGCAGGTCTCCGGTTTCAACCTTCCTGAGTCGTTTGCTACCTAGTCTTGCTCTCCACCAGTGTCTGCTCCTGGAAATACTTCTTATTTTTAAGGCTCAAATTAAATACCACTTCCTCTAGATTCCTTAGATAGACCCCAAATCCTGAATGCCACTTCATTTGTGTGTGGCTCTACTGTGACAAGAATCATTTAATTCTCCAGGATGGAATCACTTTCGGGGTCTATGCATTTTCTCCCTGTCCCAGTGTGGGGCAGAGTGACTGGCATACAATAGGTGCTTGATCAATGCTGAAAGAAGGCCACATGTGGTTCATGCCTGTAATCAGCACTCATGAAGCTGAGGCAGGAGGATTGCCTCAAATTCGATTTCAGCCTAGGATGCAGAGTTCCAGGACCCTGTCTCAAGAATTGAATTAATTAATTAAAATGCTGGAAGAAGGACTAGCAGGTGAGAGGTGCACAACCACTCTCGCTCTGTCCCCATGGCCTGTCTGCCCCGCCAGGGCTGGGGGCCGCTTTCCCGCCAGGGTCCTGCAGAGTGGACTCCACCTCGGCAGAGGGCATCCCAGACCCCTCTCATCCCGGAAGCTGGACTACCTGCTATGGGAAGACTACACTTCCCAGCGATCCCAGGGAAAAGCGAAAACCCTTTGGCTTTGACAGCCGCCGCCACAAGTCTTTCCGCCTCCCCAGCCTGCCCGGGCGCAGGGAGCTGGGCGCTGGATTATGGTGGCTTGAGCAGCGAACGCAGCCGCAGGAGCCGAGAGCCACGCCGCGGACCCCGCCAGGAAGAGCCGGAGAGCAGTGGGCTCCGATCCCCATGGCCGCCCCTCCCCGCGCCCCGAGGGGCTCCAGCCCACCGCTGCGGCTAGCTGCCGCTGTCCAGATGTAGCTGGCTCCGGATCCGCGACGTTCGCTCCTCTAGTGCGCTGCGGAGCCGCCTGGACCCGGGGACCGAGTGAGGGGCCTGCAGGCTCTGCAGTCTCGATGCCTCCAAGGCCGCTGTCCTGAGAGCAGCCACCAGCACTCAGACTTGGGCAGGTCCCAGGGACGGTAGCCGGCCCCGACAGCCCACCGGCCCGGGCTCACCATGGCCCCAGCCCTGCGCTGGCTCCTGCTGTGGATGGGCTCAGGAGTGCTGCCTGCCCAGGGCACCCACCACGGCATCCGGCTGCCCCTGCGCAGCGGCCTGGCAGGGCCACCCCTGGGCCTGAGGCTGCCGCGGGAGACCGACGAGGAACCCGAGGAGCCCGGCCGGAGGGGCAGCTTTGTGGAGATGGTGGACAACCTGAGGGGCAAGTCGGGCCAGGGCTACTATGTGGAGATGACCGTGGGCAGCCCCCCACAGACGGTAAGGTGGTCAGGCCTGGTAGCCCTTCCTGCACGGCAGAGGGGTGACAGGGTGGGGATGCTGCAGGCTGCCCAGCTAAGATGGTTTGCTTTCAGTAGTGGGACAGGAGGGACCTCCTCCCAAGCCATTCCTCAGGGTCCCGTTGGGAGTTCTTACTAGGCCGCCTTGGTTGACTGACTTCCTCTTACTCCCACTGCTGCAATGACCCCTCAGCAATAAGGATTGGGGGCAAGAGAAGCACTTCAGTGGGGCGCCTCCTGACCCCGGGGAAGGGCCAGGCACAGGTACAACCTAACAGGTGTCACCTTCTGGCACTGGCACCCTCTGGTACTGGCCAGGTCCCCATTTTTCATACTCCGCCAACCAACTCTCCCTCTAGTGTTCTGGGAAATCTAAGTCTCCCACCTTCATCTTCTTGTGAATCCAAGAATTCACATGGATTAGCCCCTCCCTGTCTGTGCTGTCACAAACCAGCAAAGTGAGGGCCTTGATGACTTCCATGTAGCCTCCAAGTCCCAACAGGCTGTCCAATCCCCCCACCCCCAGTCCCTTCCTCCAGCCATTCCCTCAACCCTCACTCTCTGCCTTCCAGCCCCTCCCCCACCTCATGCCTCTAAACATGGCCTGGAAGGAACTGAACTGAGTCTGGAGAAATGATAAGCCAGGCAAGGAGCCAGAGCCCTCTTCCAAGAGATGGGTTCCATGGTGGAGGGACATGCAGCTTGGGGAAAGCACTTCCCTCTGTCTCCATCCTTCTCAACAGTTGCCAAAGTACCAACAAGATGGCTGGTGGAGGTTGCCGCTCTGCCTGTGCTGTGTGGGCTTGAGCCAGCCACCCTCCATGTGGGGTGCCTGGCTGACCTCTGTGTGCATCTGCCTCCTCTGTGGGCCAGTCTGGGTTCTGGCAGCAGTGTGGTTCTGCATATGCTTTGGTGTGTCACCTTGAATCTGATCCCGTACATCTTTGTGAGCCACCCCTGGATCTGTGTCAGATCTGTGTGTTGGTGTCTGGAAAGCTTGTCCATGGAGGGTGTAGAAAGGTGGGAGTATGTTGGTGTTGGGGTGGGAAGGGAGGCAGTTTTACTTCCCCGAACTCAAACAGCTGGATCTAGGAGAGTCACAAAGCCCTACCTTCCTGTTACTTGACAGAAACCAGCCTTGTTGGATCCATGCCACCCAGGTCTGCTTTGGGGGCTCTGTGTCCGTGGTCTCCCTCACTTGCCCATCCTCTTTGCTATGCACCATAAATTCCCAGAAGTAGTCTGGAATCTGTGTGTGGAGCCAAGCCAGAGCCCAAATCTAGTCTAAGCCAACAGACCTGGGATCTACTCTAGTGATATGCTGTGTAACTGCCTAGATCTATGATACAACCAACAAGGGCTTTGGAGTCAGACAGGCCAGAAATCCCAGCTCTGCCTACCACCCACAGCTTTCCCTTTTCCCAGCTGTGTAGCCTTGGGCAACTTATTTATATAATCTCTCAGTGGCTATTGCCTTGTCTTTAAAATGAGTGAAATGAGATCTCCTTTGCAAGATAATTGTGAGGATTCAATGAAACCTCCTGTAGAGGGAAAGGTCTAGAAGAAAGCACTAGGACACATCACTTCCTCCTTAACTAGCCCGGTGCCTTTGCCTTTTCTGTACTATCCAATTGGACATAAAAACTCAATGTCTGGGCCTTTGTGTTTCTACACATGTGGACTGGGGAACCAGTTGCTGTACTTCCCCAGTCCACTGAGATGCAGTGTAGATCCCTCAGCCCAGCCCTCCCCCATCCTAACTAGAAGATGGAACAGGGAGCTGGGGGTTGCACACCAGTTTGGGATCCCTGAGTGGAGACTCTCTGGTTGTACGTGGCTCTGACCCAGAGCCTACTCCAGCCAGCCTCTGCTCTGTGGAAGGCTGTGAGAGGTATAGCCTTTCTCCCTACCCAGTGGGGCTATCAGAAGTATCAAACAACAAGAGTACCATAAATAAGGAAATGTGGAATCTGGAGATGTACTCTCTATGCTTGAGTCTGATCCACAATGAGAAGGAAGACAGACTTTCTCCCCTTTAGAGGGGAAAGGAAGTATAAGTACACCTTTAAGGTCATTCCTGGCTGTGATAAAAGTGATCTCTTGCAGGTTCTTATCATTAGAACCTGCTAAACAGAAATTCTCTTAGCCCCACCCTAGACCCTGGATGTTTTCTGTTGAGAAGCACTGATAGATAGAAGTAAGAGTTGAAGCCAGTTAATCTGAGGAGGCTTCCTCTAAGAGGTGTGTGCTGAGTATGATCTTGCAGGATGAATAGAGTGGAGGCCATTCCCTGTGGGAGCTGGCACCTATCCCACCCTACTGTAATTGCTTACTTGTCTGCTTTCTACTTAGCCTGTTGCCTGCAAGAGACCACAGATGAATGAGTTGTGTGTTTGAGATTATGCATGTTTGTTCAGGTGACAGGAGAAAGCCAGACCAGCTGATAGTACAGGTTATACTGAGACCAGATCACTTTGGGTAAATAAAATAGAGTCAAGCTGTCAAAAAGCCTTAAATGTTGAGCTATGAGGTTTGGACTTTAGCTCTGAGGGGAAAATTGATATCATTTATATAGGAGAATGACATAAAGGAAGCAACCGTTTAGGAACAGATGTCTGAATTTTAGAATGAATGGAATAAAGAGATACATGAGGCAGAACGCTCAGTGACAACAGTTCAGGTGTGAGGTGCTGTGGTAAGGGTGATGTGAAGCCGTGGTAAGAAGGAAGACCAGGATACAAGGAGTGTTATAAAGATGGACAGGGTTTGTGACATCAGTGTGAAGGGTGAAGAAGGAGTCAAAGGTGGCTTTGGGATTCTGCTATGTGAACTGAAGGAAACTGTTAGGGGAACAGGAAAGTTGGCAAGGGGATACAGTTTAGTATATACAGTTTTGGTTTTTTTGTTTTTGTTTTTGTTTTTGTTTTTTTTTTTGTCTTTTTGAGATAGGGTCTCCCTGTAGCCCCAGCTGTCCTGGAACTCACTATGTAGACCAGGCTGGCCTTGAACTCACAGAGATCTGCCTGCCTCTGCCTCCCGAATGCTGGGATTAAAGGCGTGCGCCACCACGCTGGGAAGTTTTTTGTTTTTTTCTTTTTTAACTTTTAAAAAAACTTTTGAGAATTTCATATATTACACAGTTTCTTTTATACAGTCTGTATATTTTATTTTATTCTGATCTGTTTTACTTTGTTTTTTGAGGCAGGGTCTTGCTAGATATCCCTGGATGGACACATATTCGTGATCCTTCTGCCTCAGCTCCCAGAGTGGTGGGATTATTGGTGTGTGCACCCAGATTCTTATTTTGTTCCTTATGGCAATGCCTCTGCATTATGGGCTCTGAAAATTAAATGACTGGCCTTGTGGTATGCCAGTAAGCTGAGACCTGCCTACCCCACTCCTTGTTCCCCCTACCGTGCTGCTGACTTCAGTAGTCTATCTTGAGCATCCCTCAGCTGTGACTGTAGTACAGTTGCATAGTGTGCTATAACTACTTTTGTTTCCTTTATCAAATTTCAAGCTCTTAGGATTAGGGATGTAGTTCAATGGTAGAGAACCTATTGTGTGTGTGCAAAAGAAAAAAATGACACAGTTTCGGCTCTTGGAGAGTTTGCAATTTGGTGTGAAACACAGACATATAAATATGAATAGGTTCTACGAACAGTAGGTCTTGGATGTGCCCAGAGAGAAGCAGCTACTCTGACAGGGTATATATAGGCTTTCTGGAGAAGGAGGTCTTCTAAGTATGGCCTTGATGCTTGAATTTGGCCTTGAAAGATGAGAAAGCTTTGCTCTATGGAATGTGGTAAGAAGGGACACTTTAGGAGATGTGTGAGCTGTGATGAGAAGCTGGAAGTTGTAAGGATGATGTGGGGCTGTGTAGAGTTGGGGCTTTGTTCTGGAAGCAGCCAGCAGGCCTAGTAGGTCTATGAGAGAGGGATGGTGATGTCTAATTTTGGTTCCAGGAAAACAACTTCAGTGTGGAGGAGGACTTGGATAGGGTAGAGTGTGAGACGAGCATCTGTTAGGAAACAAGGGCCTGAACGAGGGAGGTGGTGGTGAGGGTAGAAAAGAGGGAAGGTCCTTAGGTTGCTGGCATTCAGAGCTCAGTTCAGCCAGCCCTTCTCTATCTCTGTGAGATTTAAACGGTGAGAAAAGGAGGAAGGGTTGGTTTCCTTTGCTTAACTTCTCTGGCTTGATTGCTTAGCTGAATAGAGCAAAGGGGATAAGCTTTTAAAACCCTGTATGGTTTACCAAATTCCATGCATATTTATTTTTCTTTTTGGGAGGGGGTAGGGATAAGACAGAGTTTTACATTTGTAGCCGAGGCTACCCTAAAATTCACTATGCTGCCCAGGCTGGCCTAATCCTAAGAGCTTGAAGTTTGATAAAGGAATTTACAGCAATCCTCCTGCCTCAGTTTTCTGGGATTACAGGTGAGCCACCATGTCTGGCTTCTTTATTTACTTTTCTGTTTTCATGATGAGGCCTCATATTAGCAAACTCATTTTGGTAAGAAGGAAATAAAGGCTGAGAGAGATGAAGCGGGTTGTGTGAAGTTACTTGACTAGGAATAACACACCTGAGGTTAAAATCCAGATCTTTAGATTTCAAGTACAATCACTGGGTTAATTTCTGAACATGCTGGTTGTCTTGGAGATGCTGGTGAACCATTCTTACAGGTGAGCCCAGCAACCAGCTGAACACAGGTATCTGGAAACCAGGTGGGCAGTTAGAACTTCAGCAGGTACACTTGAGAGTCACCCCGCAGAGTTAGCAAATGGATTTGATCTTTGAGAGAATGGAGAGAAGACAATGATTAGAGAAACAATCATAGATGTAGATAGGGGAGGAAGAAAATCATTAAAGAGATAGAAACCCATGAAGGGTCAGGGTCAGAGTCTTCCCTGCCTCCATAATAGTGTTGGGATTTTTTTGTTTGGTTAGGTTTGGATTTTTATTGATGTTGTTGTTTTGAAA